ATGTCTGCTCCAAACCCCTGCAGGGAACAGTAACATCGTAACAAGTTCCTCCACCTCCAAGGCAGAGGTCTCTAGAAAAAGGGAGCCCGGACCCTGGTAATAGCACACAGTGTGAAAACAGGACAATGTGAGTTCAAATCCCGGGCACTCGCAAAAAATCGGCATGGCGTGTTGTACAGTGCTGGGGAGTGAAGACAGCCACACAAAAGGAAAAGTATTGGCCCAGAACACCCCAAGACTAAGTTCTCAGTACAAAGGAGATTTATTTGCCCCAGAGGAACAGAGAGCAGGGAATAAGAAAGAGGAGGGTGAGAGAAGGGGGAGGGGTGTTTGTCCTGGAGGGACGAAGGACTGCCTCTGGAAAGAGAGAAAACAGATGTGGTCCATAGGCAAATTGCAATTTATAAAGGTAGAAGGGGAAACACCTGTGTTAGAATAAAGTGTTCAATTTTAATTGGGCATGTTAATTAGGTGAGCCAAAGGAGGACCTTTGGTTGCTGGGCTTCAATCCTTCAATAGCTGAACCTTGGTAGTCAACCTCAGGAGGAGGAAGTGGCCAAATAAGGGAACAGACTGTGCTGGTTAGCTTTAGGAATGTGATCTAACGGTTTTTAGTAAGGCAGAGGGGATGGGGGAGAGGGGCAAGGCCTGCCAGAACCCCATGCTCGTGTGGACCAGTGTCCCTTCTTCAGGAGCTCGCTGGCCATCCAGCCTAGCAGAAACAGTGAACTTCGGATTTGAAGAGCGATCCTGTCTCGGGGCAATAAAGAAGAGCAGTAAGAAAAAACTCTCAACATCTTCCTCTGGCCTCCAAGAGCATGGGTGAAGACGCCGGCATACACGCGCATGCGCACACTATACAAAAGGGATGCAGAGTGGTGTGCCAATGGTAGGCGTTGAGTTTCACCTGAGACAAGATGGAATGACAGAAATTGGTTGCAGCTCTCCCTAAGGACTTCATGACCTTTTTCATTTTTATTATTAGTGCTCCCCAAGTCCAATTAGTGCTGACCCATGTGTGTATAGGTGCACGTAAGCTTGGAGCCAGGCACCAGGGTATGTAGGGTATGAGCAGCCCTACCAGCAGTTCCATTTCCCAGAGAAGGACAGTTCTCTCTCCCTCACCAAGAGCTTCTGAAAGAGCCCAATCACTAGCGAAAAGGCTTTTGGAGTCTGCCCCCCGCACCCACCCCACCTGTACTGAAGTTTGACTGGCTTCAATTTGTGCCAGTCTTGTGGAGGCAGGGTCTCGCTGCCTTGGAATTCGCCTAGGCTCCCTGGCCAGTCACCCCCAGGGAGCAACATGTCTCTGCTTCCCCAGAACTTGGATTACAAACATGATCTGACACGCTCACAATTTTTATGTGGGTTCTGGGGATCAAACTCGTGACTTCATGCGTGTCCGGCAAGCATTACCAATGCTTGGGCTTTCCGGCCCAAGAATTATTTTGAGATAGGGTGTTGCCATGAAACCGAGGAAGGCTGGCCAAAATTCAAGATCTCCCTGCCTCGACCTCCCAAGATCTGGGATCTTAGGCATAGGTTCCCATTCCTGGCCAATAAATATATTTCAATATTTCGCATATTCAAATATTTCAGCTGAATAATGTTTCCGTCTTTTCCTCATTTTTGTTAGTGCTTTGAGAATTTCCTATCATGCATTTTGACCGTATTCACCTCCTCCCCGCCTCCTTTCGGATCCATCGCTGCCCACTTCTTACCCAACGTAATGTTTGACAGTGGGAGGATCTGAAAACTACATGACTTCTAAAATATTTTTTCTTTTACCCTGTATGTCAACCACTTTGTGAGCTGCTTGGGAGGGAAGGCATGTGTCTCGAAATGACTACCACGAATATCTCCACCCTCCCAACTGAACTTTATATTTAAGCGGTATATCAGAAAAGGTTAAAAAAAAAACAGGAGTATTATAAGGTGTAATATATTTGCATATAATCATGTTTCATGTCCTTTTGCACTTCATTATTTGGAGGGGGGCACTGTGTGCCTCAGTGTTCCTGTGGAGGGAGGTCAGAGGACAGCATCCGGCAGTCGGTGTTCTCCCTCTACCAGGTGGGCTCCAGGGACTGAACTCAGGTCATCAGGATTGGTAGCAAGTGCCCTGACCCACAGATCCATCTTGCCCACCCTGGGGACTGTGAAACCCTCCTTCCACTCAACACCATTACCCTTTGTGTAAAGGCAGAGGACAAGTGAAGAAAGATCACCTTGAGAATGTCTCAAAATGATTGCAAGGGGAAGTAGCCCAACTGGGGTAGATGCAGTTCTCCGAAGGGACCTTCGTGCAGCTTGTTCCGCTGCAGAAGTGGTTGGGGAGAAGGCCTGCCTCGCATTGGATGCACCTGGAAGAGCGAGCCTTGAAGACAGTGTACTTGGTGGGGGCGGGGCAGAGGTGATATACTAAGTGCTTACCAATCGGTACTGTGGGAAAGGAGCCTGAGCCAGTCCCAGCCAATGGAAAGAAGGATGCCATTGGCCTGGGTTCCCAGAGCCTATAAAGGATTGAGAAGGAGCCAAGAAGGGTTTGTTCTATCTGCTTGGGAAGATGTGTTTTTGCTAGAAGGAGACTAGAAGTCTGATCCATTTCAGAGGTGAGTGTTCTAATTTTTCTCATCATCTCAATTTTTTAGTTCTATTGACAGAGTTCACCCAACCCAGATGAAAATTTGTATTGAAAATACAAAACACAACCAGAGACTCGTCTCTGAACTCAACAGTTCTCATGGATAAAATCCTTACCAGCCTCCCCAATTATCCCCATTTCTAACATAATGTCCTAAATTCCAGTTCTGAGGCCTGAGCTCCAAGAGACTGGCCAAAGCTGACAACCCCCTAAAGCCCCAAAGAGGCCATCCTCCCTTGTGCTCAGGAGGTCCAGGTTAACCTCTAGCATATGTGTTAGGGTAAATCAAACGCTATAGGCAGGAAGGGAGTTAGGTTAACCTCTGGCACATGTGCTGAGAAAAATCAAATGTTATAGACATGATGGGAGTTAGGCAAAGAGCAGGGAGCAGAGACTGAGATACGCAGACTTTCACACCCCCTCCCTACACTATTCCTCCTTGGTTAAGGAAAGCGTTAGTTTCTCCCCGAGGCTCAGCCTTTGGGCATTAGCCAGGCTTCAGCTGCTGCTTCTACCGCTCAGCTGTTGCCTGAAAGTCAAAACCGTTTGGGATGTTAAGTGAATTAAATCTGACTCAGAAACACAAACACCACATTTTCTATCCTATGAAGAATCTAAATAGATAGATAGATAGACAGACCGACAGATAGATAGTTAGAAAGATAGATAGATAGATAATATTTGATAGATAAATCAACAGATGGTGAATAGAAAGACAGCAGGATATAAATGATATACATAGATAATAAATAGGTAATAGTTGATAAATAGATCTAGATAGATGTAGGTAAAATAATAAATGATAAAAATAGATGACAGATATTCGTGATTAATAGAGAAGTAGGTGGGTAGATATATAGCTAATGGAAAAGTGATAAGTAGATAAATAAATAATAGATTAATGAAAATAAGTAGGAATGGCTAGGTAGGTGATATGTAGATAAAAATGATTGGTTGATGGTAGGTAGGTGATAGATGATTGATATATATGCTTGATAGATGGTTGATAGATGAATACTAGATGAAGATGTCAGGCAATAGACAGATTATAGAAAATTGATAGATAGATAGATAGACAGACAGACAGACAGACAGATAGATAGATAGATAGATAACAGTTGGATAGAAGGGATAGAGGTGGGTGATAGATCTGTAGATAGATCATGGGTGATAGGTGGTGTATAGCTATGGGATGGGTAAACAGGTGGGTAGTTAGATGATAGAGTATACATGGCTTTAGATGGCAGGACGGGAGAAGGGGGACCATTATGGAGGAGGATGTAACAGGAGACAGTAAGGGAAAACATAAATACTCCACAAATAGTACACACTTCCCCTTACATGTGGACCTAGATTTAAAAAGATAGATGAAGGCAGGCGTGGTGATATATCCCTATAATCTTAGAACTCTGGAGACTGAGGCAAGAGGATTGTTGTGAATTCAAGGCTTCGTGGAAAGAGCCTCAAAAAATATGTATATGGTATTAAAGCAGAAAAAAAGATTATTAAAGGAGGAAGTGAACAGTTGGAAAACAGATGAACATGAGCATTCAATTGGCCAAATAGTAGTTAAGAACAATAATACACATATATGCAAAGGTCATGATGAAACTCATCATTTGTGTGCTAAGTAAAAATTGATGTCAAAAATTAAAAACCTACTTCATATGTGAAAGCAGAAGGGGAATTGTCTGGGAAGAATATAGACAAGAGATGGTAATGAAGGGCCTGAGAAGTTCAATGCATGTGAGACATGCTTCTGAAAAGTCATAATGAAATTTATAATTTTATGCAATGAGTATATGTTGATAAAAGTAAATAAAAATAAAAGTGTTTGCTGAAAAAATTAATGGCATTCTTTGTACAATTAAAAATAAAGGATTAGGACCTGGAGAGATGGCTCAGCAGCTAAGAGTACTTGCAGCCCTTGCAGGGGACATGGGTTCGATTCCCAGCACCCATATGGTGTATCTCCACTTCCAGGGGCTCTTCTCCTACCTCCTTGGGTATTTCACATGCATGATACACATCCACGCAGGCAAAGATATAAAGCAAAAAAAAATACTTTTTAAAATAATAAAGGATCGAGATTTGGGGTGTCGCTCGATAGAGGACTTGTCTAGCAGGCACAAGGCCTTAGGTTCCATCTGCAGCATGAGACACAAAGTGAGACTCAGAAAGAATGTTGAAGCATGGTGGCAGACTTCTTGTGAGATGTTGAAGTTCTCTGACTGTAGGGTGGTCTGGATTCTACCGCTGATGACCGTGCCGTGTCTTCGCAGGCTTGTCTTGTTTGCTCTCTCCTGCTCAGTTGTATTTATCACTGACAAAGAAGCGTTGTTCACCTTGCGTGAGGATGAGTGGGGTCAGTCAAAGACTGCGCCATCTTACTTCTACCCAAACTTCGACACACACTCACTCCCTTGCCTCCCTGTGTGACAATGGGGTCATGGTGTACATGAGTTATTTAAGCAAGACGGAGCTACAAGTCTTCAAGAAGCTGTTGATGGAAAAGAAGCTCCTGCCGCACTCTCTCGGCATCACCTGGCAGCAGCTGAACAGAGCCAACTGGGCAGAGATGGTTCATCTCTTAGTAGAATCCCTTCCTGGAGAACTGGCCTGGAATGTGGCTCATGAAATCCTACAGACAATGAACCAGAGAAAGATTTGTTCCCTGCTACAGAAAGAGTTAGCGGGTAAGTGACGTACAGCACACAGGTGGGCGGGGGCTGAGGAGCTAGAGAGCCCCTTTAGCTAAGGGGCTGCCCTGTGACTTCCTGTTCACCTGCAAAGGAAAACAAAGAGTGAAGTCAGATGGTGGGTCGAATCTCCCGGCAAAATCTACTTTGTTGGATTTGTAAATTTGTAAGACTTTCATTTTTCTTTTGTGTGTGTGCATGTACACATGTACACGCATGTGGGAGCCCACACAGGCCAGAAGTGGGCATTCGATCATAGAGTTAGAGGCAGTTGTGGGGAGCCAGTGTGGGTGCTGGGAACTGAACCCAGGTCCTCTGCAAGAGCAGTAAGTGTTCTTAACCACTGAGCCGTCTCTCTATCCCCTATATTTCTTCTTTTTAAAACCCTAACCAGATACTATTTATAAGAGATAGTCTGTGATTAAAAACACCAAAAACTTAGGGTATAGTTCAGTTGGTGGAGGGCGTGCACAGCACGGACCATCTCTAGGACCACATGTGCCAGATGTGGTGGTGCACATCTGCAATCCCAGTACTAGGGAGGTGCCTACAAGAAGATGAGATGTTTAATTCATCTTTGGCTACATAGTGAGTTTCAGGTCCCAAATACATGTGACCCTATCTCAAAAAACAAGGATTCTGGGTCATTCGTAGACCTGAGCAGAGCAGCAAGCTAAGCTATGGCTCCCAGCGGAGCTCATGCAAGGCAATGCATTAAGTTCCTGTCCTGTGCACGAGTGTCTTCTCCAGTCCGGGCTATACCACATCTCTGTGCTTTCATTGATTTTACTGTTCAAAAGGTAGTATTAAATAATCATCCAGTGATCCTGTGCTCTTGTGAAGAAATTCTTCATGTCAGAGAACTGTCCGTTAGATATGACTTGTAACACTGTTGTCTGTGAGTCTGATGTTAATGAATCAGCGAGATCTAAAGATAATATAGCAAATGAAATATATATGATAAAACATATTTAAACAATGTATTAAGCAAATATATTCAAATAGTATGCTAAACAAAATACCTCTAAATATGATATATATATATATGTAAGATATATGCAAAACAATGTTGTATCTTAATCAACTGATGAAAATATAGTAACCAGAAACTCATAAGAAACTAACTTACTAAGCTCAGTGTGGTGGCACACTTCTTTAATCCTAATACCTGGGAATCAGAGGCAGATGGCTCTCTGTGATTTTGAGGCCAGCCTGGTCTATGTAGCAAGTTCCAGGACAGCCAGGGCTACATCGAGACCCTGTCTCAAAAGAGCAAAAAATTAATCTTCACTCTGAATTCTCATGGGAACCATGGTACTGGCTAACACAGTGTTTATGGTGATTCTAGAGAACATAGCAACTGTGGGTAGTAGATAACCCAATGGCTGCAAATATGTGTGCATATTACATATGTAAACATACACAATGTATGCACATTCATACATATACATAGATGTGTGCATGCATTGCACATATATGGATTATGTGCTGTGCTTCGGTTATCTTAGTACAGTTTTTATTGTATGTGGAAGTGGGGTGAACACATGCTCATGCACATGGGGTAGTCAAAGGACAACACTCGGGGGTCAGTGCTCTCCTCTCACCATGTGGGCACCCCTACCCACAAGCCATCTCACCAGCTAAAGTATGTATATCATACTGGATTAGGTTGACCAACCTAACCCAACAACCCATATGAAACGCTTGAGAATATGAAACATTTGGGTCACCAACATGATGCCACAAGTGGAAAATTCCACTTCTGAACTCATGTGATAGGTCATAGATAAGATATAGGCACACTAAAATTATTGTATCTTCGGGGCTGGGAAGTGGTTCATGGGACACTAAAAATATTGTACAAAACTGCTTTCAGGGCTGGGAAATGATTGGGGGAGGTCGGTAAATGCCTTGCAGAGTGAGCTTGACAGCCTGAGTTTGACCTCTAGAACTTTTATAAAAGGTGAACTTTTATAAAAGGTGAAGGTGGTGGCCATACATCCAAAATCCTACCATTCTTACAGCAGCTTGGGAGGCAGAGCTGGGAGAACTGACCAATAGCTTCTGAGCCAGCTAGTCAGGCACATACAGCACAGATACAGAAAAACAGAGAGAGACCCTGCCTCAAAAATAACACAGAGGGGAGAACCCTGAGTCTCAACAGGCTTCCGCACCTGTGCTGTAACTCGTGCCCTTCTCTCTCTCTCTCTCTCTCTCTCTCTCTCTCTCTCTCTCTCTCTCTTTCTCTCTCTGTCTAATTTTTTAAAACCACCTTTAGATTGTATAGAAGGTGCTAAGGAAATATAAATTAATGAAAAGACAGCCAGCTGGATTTCCTGGCAGAAATCAAGTCTCTGGCAGAGGAGAGAACCCCCTTGGGTGAGGCTTTCAAGCAAAAAGAAAAATAGCAATAGATAGAGATGATGTCATCGAATCAGGAGCTTACAACATCCACAGAAACCCACTGGAGAAGTTAACACAATCAGCTGGGGTTCATAACGGTGCCTTTTCTCCATAACTGAGCTTCCGATGACTGAATTCCAGGCTTCTATTTCCCACTGCAGACACTTTCATACCCTGGGATAAGCAATAAGCCTCTGTTGAGTAGGATCCCCTTCCATCTCTTCTTGAGAACCTAGTGTTTTATTCTCGAGCTGTTTGATTCTCTCCCTGTCATGGAGTTAGAGTAAAAAGCCCCTCCCACAGACAAAGGGTTCTGGAGAGCACTTGACATACATATGCTTAGGTCTCAAGTGTAGAGAAAGGGACCCCACTTTCAGAGCCAACTTCTCAGTCACCTTAAATCGCACGTGACAGTTTCCCAGTATAATGTCCGTTAGACTCTGTTGTGGGAGTTCATTCTGATGGGCCTGTCACTTTTCTCATTCATTGCAGACCTTCCTGCCGTGGTATCAGTGGACTCCCATCTAAGGAAAACACCGCTGAGTCTGACGAAAGAAGAATGCGGTACGTGCTAGCCATGTTAGTCTGGTGAAAGTGGGGCACAGGCTGGAGCAAAAAGCTCGGATGCCTCGTCAGCGTAGACTGTACGTGAAAGTGGAAGTCTCTCTTCTACTCATCAAAATTTAGGCAAAAAATAGTGTTTGTGGACTCACGTGACCACAGGAAGCCCAGTCTCCATGCCACCTGGATGCAGGTGCTCTAAAAACATCATCAAAGATGCTTTTCTGCCTTCCTTATGGGTCAGCCTTTTGTAGAAGCTGGTTCTGAACAGTCTCTCCCTTGCACAGTAAACACCTTCATGCCCAGCTAATTTAAAGAGCACCAGCTTAAGAGTATGTTTTCCAATGCAAAATTCCTCAAATTGGGGCCAGTGAACGAAAAAGGTCATATTACCTGATTTAAAAAGGAACTCCAGTTAGTTAAGAAAAACTACTGTATAGTTATCCCTCGATATCTTAGGGGAGTTTGCCAACATGCACGGATGCTAAAGTCTCTTATATGTAATGATGCAGCATCTGCACGTAACTTCCACACATCCCTCCCATGCACTTGACATTGTCAGCCAGTTGTTTCTTTTTTTGCTGCTTGAGAACTTCATACATGCTTGCATTGTGATTTGATCAGACCTACCTCCATTCCCTCTCTTCCAGTCCTCCCAAATCTTGCGTCACTTTTCTTTCCTAACTTCAGTTGCTCGTTTTTTACCCTCACTGGGTACACTTAGTGCTTCTGATATGTCCATTGCTAGAGGGCTGTGATGATTTAAAAGAAAGTGGCCCCCAAAGGGCGTGGCCCTAACAGGCCGTGTGACCTGGCTGGAGGAAGTGTGTCACTGTGGGGTGGTCCCTTCTCTCAAGCTTCACTCGTTATGGCAGTCAGATCGACTTCCTGCTGCCTCTGAGTCAAGAGAGAGGACTCAGCTCCAGCGCCACATCTGCCTGCTCCCCATCCCAATGGTAATGAACTGAACCTCTGGACTGTAAGCGAGTTACCTCAACTAAAGGTTTCCATTTAAGAGTTGCCTTGGGTATGGTAGCTTTTCACAGCAATAAAAATCCTCCCTAAGACAAGAGCCGTCTACCGGAACACAGGCAGCCTTGGGCGCCACACCTGAGGAAAACCTGCCGCCTCCACCAGCAGCCATCAGGTGCTGATAGCTCTCGACTAGGGGTGGGATTTTATGAGCCCCTCCCCTTCCACGCTGAGATTTTGGGCTGGCTCGATCTTCTGCAGGCCCTGTGCGTGCTGTCACAGTCTCTTGCGAGCCGATGAGTGTGATGGCCCTGCTATAACCATGCAAACACATTTCCACTACAGACATCCACTACCTCTGCCTCTTACAATCTTTCTGCCTCGTCTTCTTCAATGATCTCTGAGCCCTGGAGGAAGGGAATGTGCTTCAGACGTCCCATTTGGTACCTACTGTGATGGCAATTCTATAAATAACTAATTGAGTTTCTCTGTTATTTATGTTGAGGTGTGTGTGCACGTGTGTGCGCGCACACACACACACACACACACGAGCATGCTGCAGCATGTCTGTGGAGGTTAGAAGACAATTTGCTGGTGTCCCTTCTCTCCCAGGTATCACGCTCAGGTCATCACCCTTGGCAGCATGAGACTGTCCCCACTGAGCTGTCTTGCCAGACCTGCCAGTCACCATTATATTTAATTGTTTGGGAATGATGATTCTTTAAAAGAAGGTACATGTTCAGCACAAGCACAACTTTCAATCCATAGCTAGTTGAATACATGTTGCAGAAACCACAGATTGTGGTAGTCTGGCTACCTCTATAAGATGCTCTCCTTCGGCCCTTAGTTTCCTCTGGGTCTGTTTCCTCATACCATTTGATTGAGAGAATCTGTTACACATTAGCGTAATTTGTTTTGTTTTGTTTCCACTACCAGAATCCTATTTCTGATATCTCTAGATTCTAGAGATGGAAGAATGAATTAAGATGCCTGCTGTAGCTAGCCCCTAGCTTGGGTGGTTCCATCATGGAACTATTGTGAACAACACTGTCAGGAATAGCCATGTGGCTGTATCTCTGTGTTATGTGACTTGCAATCTAGTTCAAGGGCTTGAGGGTGGGAAGACGGGTTCCCAAAGGAAATTCAAACATCTTATGGAGGTTGGCATACACTAACACGCTGTATTTTTTTATCAGTGCTCTAAGCAACTCTAAAGGAATTATCTGTGTTTCTTCATGATTCTAGATAAAATACGGGAGTACAAACAGCGCGTGATAGAAAAGAGCCTCCCTTTGTGGGACAATACCGTCTGGCCTGGAAACCAAGCAGACTTTTTGTACCTCAATGTGAGAAACCACGAGGCAATCTTGCCATATCTCTTTCTACCCAGGAGTCCCCAGCGGAAACAGCCTAAGGTAGTGGTCATTCATGGAATTCCTGGTATTGGAAAAACAACGCTGGCCAAAAAAATCATGCTGATGTGGGCGCACAATGAGTTCTATGCACACAAGTTCAAGTTTGCTTTCTATTTCCACTGCCGGGAACTGAACTGGGTGGGAGAGCGCAGCTTCTCGGAGCTGATTGAGGGCCAAGGGCTTAGGTCTCAGGCTCTCGTGTCTAAGATTCTATCCAGACCAGATCAACTTCTGCTCTTGTTGGATGGCTTTGAGGAGCTCACATCTTCCCTCATCACAAGACCATCTGTCATGGTGGAAGACTGGAACCAGAAATTGCCTGGGGCTTTTCTCCTGAGCAGTTTGTTAAGCAAAACGATGCTTCCAGAAGCCACACTCCTGATCCTGGTGAGACCGATTTCCTGGAGAGGAGTTGAACTCTTAGTCAATGGTCCCTCCCATGTCATCCTGACTGGATTTAGCAGGACTGAAACGCTTGACTATTTCAGGTTGTATTTCAGAGGCAAAACGACAAGGAATCAAGTTGTGGATTTTGCCATGAGAAACACCATTCTCTTGTCCATGTGTCGGGTCCCTGTGGTGTGCTGGATAGTGTGCCATTCTCTAAGAAAAGTAATGCAGAAAATGGTAAATCTCACAACGGCTTGTCCAAATGCAACATCTGTGTGTGTGTTGTATCTGGCTACCCTGTTCCCAACCATATGTAAGAAACTTTCCGGCAGTAATTACCAAAAGCAATTGGAAGGTGTGTGCCGTCTGGCTGCTCAGGGTGTATGGGACCTGAAGAGTGTGTTTGATAAGACGGACTTTCAGCATGTCAAGGTGGATGAGGCCACCATAGACACTTTTCTTCAAGTGAACATTCTTCGAAAGCTACAAAACCAAGGCGACCGTTACATGTTTGCCTTGTTTATCTTCCAGGAGTTTTTTGGTGCCCTGTTTTATATTCTTTTTTTCCCCCAAAGAATTATTTATTATCACCCACTGAGTCAAGTGAACATTCAGGATCTGATTGCAATGTCGAGAGCCAGAGAAAGCTGTGAGACTCAGATGGGGCTTTTCTTATTTGGTCTTTTAAATGAAGCATGTGCTGAAATCGTGATGAGGTCCTTCAACTGCAGAATAGCCTTGGGTAACAAGTTGAAGGCCATTAGCGTGATAACCCATTTGAATGACTATGGATGCTATGACTGCTCACAGCTCTTTCCCTGCCTGACCGAAATCGCGGAGAAGAGCTTTGTCCACAGTGCCCTGGAAAACTACAAGAAAGTCTCTTTGAAGATCAGGAGCCTGAAGGACCTTCAACTGTCTGCGTTTTGCCTTAGGTACTGCCAAGGTTTGGAGAAAGTAGAACTAACTCTGTCGAGAGCCTTCCAACAGGAGCTTTGGCCGGACTCAGAAGATCCTTCCCCGGGCACTCAGTGAGTGTTTAGTCTTTGGTAGTAGCCTGCTGTGCTCTGGGGTTTCTACCTCCTGGGAATGCGGGAAGCAGTTGTGTTCTGATCTTGTTGTTACTGTTCTGTTTTCGTTTAGATTTTATTGGGTGCATGTGAATGCTTTACCTACATGTATGTCTGTGCACCACATGTGTCTGGTGCGCTAAGAGATCAAGAGTGGGTACTGGATCCCCTGGAATTGGGGTTAGGGTTGGTTGTGAACCAACATGTGGGTCCTGGGAAGCAAAACTTGGCCCTTTGTAAGAGCAGCAAGTTCTCTGAGACACCCTTTCCAGCCACTTGGGTAGTTTTTAAATTATGTTTTATTTATTTAATGTGGAGATGGGTGCATGCCTACCAGGGTACACAGGTGGAGGCCAGGGGACAACTTGCAGGAGTTAGGTCTCCCTTTCCAGCGTGTGGGTCGCAGGGGTCGAACTCAGTTTGAAGGGCGTGGTCCCTACTGAACCATCTTGCTGAGTCAGTGTTAGTTTAGGCTAGTGAAGACCCCAAATCTTTCTGCTCTCTCGTTTATATGATTCTTCTAACTTATTTGTGGTTTGGTCTTGGTTTGTTTTGGCTTTTTGAGACTAGGTCTCTCTCTGGAGCCCTGACTGTCCTGGAACTCACTTTGTAGACCAAGCCGTCCTTGAACTCATAGAGATCCACCTGCTTCTAGAAGCCTCCTGAATGCTGGCATTGAAGGCATGGCCTGATGCTTTTATCTTAAATGCCAGCCCTGTGTTTCCTCAATTTTTTTCGTGTATTTTTTCTTTTATTGAAATATATATATATTATATATATTATATATATTATATATATATATATATATATATGGAGAGAGAGAGAGAGAGAGAGAGAGAGAGAGAGAGAGAGAGAGAGAAGATTTCTCTGTTTCTCTGTGTAATAGTCCCGGCTGTCCTGAAACTCACTCTGTAGACCAGGCTGGCCATGAGCTCACTAAGATTCTCTTGTCTCTGCCTCCCAAGTGCTGGGATTAATGGTGTGTGCCATCACTGCCCAGCAAAAATAGATTTTTTTCTCACATAATATATCCTGATTATTATTTCCTTTTCCTATCCACCTCCCAGTTACTCCCCTACCCATCTCCCATCTTGATTCATTCCCTTTCCCTCTCTAAAACAAACAGGCTTCTGAGGGATAATAATAAAATAAAATAAGATAAGATAAAATAGAATATAATAAGAGAAAACAAAAGCAAACATGTTGGAATTGAACAAAACCAGTAAAAAGAAAAGAGCCCAAGAGAAGGCACAAGAAACACACTCGGGAACCCCATTAAAAAAAAACCACTAAACCGGAAGCCATACTGTGTACACAGAGGACCTGGTGCAGACCTCTGTGGGCCCTGTGTGTGTTACCTCAGCCTCTGTGAATTCATATGAGCTTTGCTCATGATGATGTAGAGGACCTTATTCGCCTGGTGTCCTCCATCCCCTCTGGCTCTTACATTCTTTTCACCTCCTCTTCCAAAGGGTTCTCTGAGCCCTGATGGGAAGGATTTGATAAAGATGCCCCATTTAGGACCGAGTGTTCTGAAGTCTCCCACTCTCTGCATAGTGTCTGACTGTGGGTCTCTGTATTTGTTCCCATCTGCTGCAGGAGGAAGTATCTCTGATGATGGCTGAGCAAGCCATTGATCTATGAGTATAGCAGGATGTAACTGGGAGTCATTTTATTGCTTCTTTTTTGCTTTAGACTTGTAGTGTTTGACTTATCCTAGGTCTCTGGGCTATCTAATCTCTGGTTCTTAGTCACCCGAGCAATGTCAGGTATGGATTCCATCTCTACTTTTCCCATTGTGCATTTCTGGCTTTTTATTAATCAAAAATCAGGTATCCAAAGGTGTGGCTTTATCTCTAGAGCTTCAATTCCATTCTATTGCCTGCTGTCTCTGTTTTGGGGCCGATACCAAGCTATTAGAATTTGAAATTGGGGTTAGTGATACTTCCTGCAGTATTTTTATTATCCAGGGTTGTTTTCGCTGTCCTAGGTTTTTGTGTATATGTTTCCATATGAAGCTGAGAATTGTCCTTTAAAGTTCAGTGAGGAATTATGTTGAGATTTTGATGGGGATTACATTTGGTAAGATGGCCTTTTTTACTAAGTTAATCCTACCAATCCATGAACATGGGAGATCTTTTTGTTTTCTGACATCATCTTCAACTTCATTCTTGAGTCTTTTAAAGTTTTTCTCATACAGGTCATTTTCACTTACTTGATTAGAGTTACCCACAAGATATTTATAGTGTTTGAGGCTATTGTGACAGCTGTTTCCCTGATTTCTTTCTCATTCCATTTTTCACTTGTATATAGCAGGGTTTATGTGAGTTAATTCTGTATTGAGCTACCTTGCTGAAAGCGTTTATCAGTTGTTGGAGTTCTCTGCTGGAATTTTTAGGGTGTATACTATCATATCATCTTCAAATAAAGATTTTTGATTTCTTCCTTCCCAGTCTGTATCTCCTTGACTTCCTTCAACTGTCTTAATTGCTCTGACTAATACTTCAAGTACTATATTTATTAGGCACGGAGAGCATGAACAACCTTATCTTGTTCTTCTTCCTGGACTTGCTTTGAGTTCCTCTCCATCTAATTTGGTTTTAGCTATAGGTTTGCTGTATATTGTCTTTATTTTATTTAGGTCTGTTCCTTGTATCCATGTTCTGTCCAGGACTTTTATCATGGAGGGGTGTCAGATTTAGTCAAAGACTTTTTCAGCATCTAATGAGATGATCATGTGATTTTTTTTCTTTTAATTTGTTTATATGGTGGATTATATTTCTTGATTTTTGTGTGTTGAACCATCCCTACATCTCTAAGATGAAGCCTACTTGATCATGGTAAATAATACTTTTGATGTGTTCTTTGATTCGGGTTTTGAGTATTTTATTGAGCATTTTGGCATCTATGTTTTGAGGGAAATTGGTCTGCAATTCTCTTTGTTCTTTTTGTTGGTTCTTTACTCCATTTGGGTATCAGGTTCACTGTGTCCTCATAAAGTGAATCTGGCAATGTTCCTTCTGTTTCTATTTTATTTAATAATTTTAGGAGTATTGGCATTAGCTCTCCTTTCAAATTCTGATAGAGTTCTCCTCTGAAGCCATCTAGCCCTGGGTTGGTTTTTTTTTTTTTGGTTTTTTTGTTGTTGTTGTTGTTGTTGTTGGTTGGTTGGTCTGGGATAATTAGTGACTGATTCTGTTTCACTAGCGGTTATAGATCTATTTAAATTATTTATATAATCTTTATTTAACTTTTGCAAGTTGTATGTATTTTAAAAATTATTCATTTCTTTTAGATTTTCCCATTCGGTAGAGAACAGGTTTTTAAAAATAAGTCCATATAATTCTATGGATTTTCTTGGTGTCTGTTGTTATGTCTCCCTCTTCATTTTGTTAATTGAATATCCTTTCTCTACCTTGTAGTTAATTTGTATTAAGGTTTGTCAATCTTATCAATTTTAATCAAAGAACCAACTCTTCATTTCATTGATTCTTTTTATTGGGTATTGTTGTTGTTGTTTCTATTTTATTGATTTCAGCCCTGAGATTGATTCTTTCTTTCAGTTCATCCCTTCTGGGTGTGGTTTCTCCCTTTTGTTCTAGAGTTTTCAAATGCGCTGTTATGTTACTAATATGAGATCTCTCCGTTTTTTTAAATGGAGGCACTTTCCTATGAACTTGCCTCTCAGAACTGCTTTCATTGTGTCCTTTAAGTATGGGTATATTGTGGGTTCATTTTCACTCAATTCTGGGAAGTCTTTTTTAATTTCTGTCTTGATCAATTTTTTATTCAATAGTGAGTTGTTCAGTTTTCATGAGTTTGTACGCTTTCTGTTGTTTCTGTTGTTGTTATGCAACCTTAATCTACAGTGGTCTGATAGGATGTGGAGGGCTATTTCAGTTTTCTTGTGTCTGTTGAGACTTACTTTGTAATTGACTACATGGTCAATTTTGGAGAAAATACCATGAGATGCTGAGAAGGAGGGGTGTGTGTGTGTGTGTGTGTGTGTGTGTGTGTGTGTGTGTGTGTGTGAGTGTGTGTGTGCTTGGGTGAAATGTTCTGTAAATATTTGTTAGGTCCATTTGGTTTATAATGTCTGTTAACTCCAGCATTTCTCTGTTTGGATTCAGTCTATATGACCGGTCTATTGATGAGTGCGGGCTACTGAAGTCTCCCACTATCAGTGTGTGAGGGTCAATGTGGGATTTAAGCTGTAGTAGTGTTTCTTATAAAAATAAAAGAGTGTGGGGGAGAGGTGCCCTTGTGTTTGGGGCATAGATGTTAAGAGTTGCAGTGTCCCCTTGGTGGTTTTTTTTTCTAATGAGTTTATACTGTTCTTCTTTATCTCTTCTGTTTAAATTTTTTTTGAAGTCTGTCAGCTATTAAAATGGCTACATCAGGTTTCTTCTTCTTCTTCTTCTTCTTCTTCTTCTTCTTCTTCTTCTTCTTTTTCTTCTTCTTTTTCTCCTTCTTCTTCTTCTTTTCCTCCTTCTCCTAATCTTCCTTCTCCTACTCTTCCTCGTCCTCCTTCATCATCTTCTTTTGTTTTTTTCCATTCAAAAATTTCCACTTCCTCCCCTCCTCCCATTCCTCTCCCACTCCTCCACTCACCCTCCTCCCTCCCCCTCCAGTCTTAAGAGAGGATACCCTGCCATGTGGGAAGTTCAAGGCCCTCCCCGCTCCATCCAGGCCTAGGAAGCTGTGCATCCAAACAGACTAGAGTCCCAAAAAGCCAGTACATGCAGTAGAAACAAGTCCCAGTGCCATTACCAATGGCTTCTCAGTCAGCCCCCATTGTCAGCCACATTCAGGGAGTCCAGTTTGATCACATGCTTGTTCTGTCCCAGTCCAGCTGGATTTGGTGAGCTCCCATAAGATCAGACACACTGTCTCAGTGGGTGGACGCACCCCTTGCCGTCCTGACTTCCTTACTCAACTTTTCCTTCCTTCTGTTCCTCAACTGGACTTTGGGAACTCAGTCCAGTGCTCCAATGTAGGTCTCTGTCTCTATCTCCATCCATCGCCGGACAAAGGTTCTTTGGTGATATTCGAGATATTCATCAGTGTGACTATCCAATGATAATCTTCTTTGTTTCTTTGAGACAGCGTTTCCCTGTGTATTTCTGGCTATCCTGGAACTCCCTCTATAGATCAGGCTGACAGGTTGGTTTAGAACTCATAAAAATCCTCTGCCTCCTGAGTATTGGGATCAAAGGCATGTGCCCAACTACTAGTTTGCTTCTTAGATCCATTTGTTTGGAATGTCTTTTTCTATCCTTTTATCCTGAGGTGATGTCTATCTTTGATGCTGAGGTGTGTTTTCTTGGCTACAGCAGAGGGATGGGTCATGTTTTTTAACCCATTCTGTTAGTCTGTGTCTTTTCATTAGGGAACTGAGACCATTGATGATGAGAGATATCAATGAGCAGTGTTTGTTGATCCCTGTTTTTATTTTGGTGTGTGGTGTGTGTGTGTGTGTGTGTGTGTGTGTGTGTGTGTGTGTCTGTCTGTCCTCATGCGCGCTTCCCTTCTTCTAATTTGTTGGTCTGGGATTATTTATTCCTTGTGTTTTGGGGGGGGTGAACTCTTTAGGTTGGAGTTTTCCTTCTAGCACCTTCTGGAGGGCTAGATTTGTAGATAGATATTGCTTAAATTTGGTTTTATTTTGGAATGTCTTGTTTTCTCCTTTATGTGCCAAGGAGCTTTCTTTTCTAGTACTTTCTATTTTGTATTCTATATGTTTCCTGTACCTTGATAGTCATCTTTTTCTTTAGGTTAGGAAAGTTTCTTCTATGATTTTTTGAAATTTTCTTTGCCTTTGACTTGGGTTTCTTCTCTTTCCTCTATCCCTGTTATTCATAGCTTTTTCTTTCCACAGTGTCCCAGTTTTCCTGAATGCCTTGTGACAGAATATTTTTAGATTTAGCATTTTTTGACTGATATCTTCGTTTCTTCTATCGTCTCTTCAATGCCTGAGATTCCATCTTCCATCTCTTTTGTTCTAGGTTAAGCATGCCTCTAGGACTCCTGTATTAGTTCCCATAGTTTTTATTTTATATTTTCCTTGGTTTGATTTTTTTATTGATTCTATTTCCATTTTCAGGCCTTGAAATGTTTTATTCATTTCCTTCCATGGTGTTTTTGTGTTTTCATAGATTTTTTTAATTAATTTATTTATTTATTAAAAATTTCCACCTCCTCCCCTCCTCCCATTTTCCTCCCCTTCCCCCCACTTCCCCTCCCTCCTCCATCTCCAGTCCTAAGAGAAGTCAGGGTGCCCTGCCCTGAAGTCCAAGGCCCTCCCCCCTCCATCCAGGTCTAGGAAGTGCATCCAAACAGACTAGGCTCCCAAAAAGTCAGTATATGCAGTAGAATCAAAATCCTGTGCCATTATCATTGGCTTCTCAGTCAGCCCTCATTGTCAGCCACATTCCGAGAGTCCAGTCTGATCACATGCTCATTCAGTCCCAGTCCAGCTGGCCTTGGTGAGCTCCCATTAGATCAGTCACACCGTCTCAGTGGGTGGACGCACCCCTCGCAGACCTGACTTCCTTACTCAACTTCTCCCTCCTTCTGCTCTTTATCTGGTCCTTGGGAGCTCAGTCCAGTGCTCCAGTGTGGGTCTCTGTCTCTATTTCCATCCATCATCAGATAAAGGTTCTATGATGATATGCAAGATATTCAACAGTGTGGCTATGGGGGAAGGCCAGTTCAGGCACCCTCTCCTCTGCTGCCCAAGGACCTAGCTGGGGACATCCCCTTGGACACCTGGGAACCCCTCTAGAGCCAAGTCTCTTGCCAACCCTAAAATGGCTCCCTTAATTAAGATAGCTTCTTCCCGGCTCCCATAACCACCCTTCCTCCATCTCAACCATCCCACTCCCCTAAGCTCTCCCCAATCCTCTCCTTCTCCCTACTCTCTCCCCCTCTCCCCTTCCTCCCATCCTACCCCTACCCCCATTCTCCCAACTTTTGCGATCTTGTCTGCTTCCAATTTCCAGGAGGAGCTATATATGTTTTTCTTTAAGGGATTTTTTTTCATTTCCTCTTTAAGGATCAGTACCATCTTGAGACAGGCTGTTTGAAGATCTTTTGATTGTTCTTTAGCTATGTTAGAATATTCAGGGCTTGCTGGGCCCTAGTGAAGACATACTGTCTTGGTTGTTACGGTTGGATTTTTTATGCTGGCATCTAGGCATCTGGGGTTGAGAAGACTGTAATTCTAGGTGCTAATATCTGTTCTTGTCATTATCAGGTGGGTGTTTTGTTCCTTAGTTTCTGGTTGCTTTCTCAGGTTCTTAGGAGAATATGGTGGCTGTGTGTTGCTTAGTAGAAAATTCATCTGGGCCAGTGTGGCCACTGGGAGTCCCAGGTAAAATGCATTTCTAGGTGTCTGGAGCTGACATTTAGGAATGGGGTTAGGGAAGGAAGGGGAGCGTGTGAGGGAGCAGTAGGGAGTTAAGTGGGTCACTGAAAATGGGGGCAGAGAGTGAGGTGGGGTCATGGCAGGTCTGCTACAGGGCTGTGGATGAAACTAGGGGTTTGAATTTGGAAGAATGGAGAGAGAGGTGAAGATTTTTAGTTAGCCTCTGGCTTAGCTGGCCAGAGTGGCCTGCGGACTCCCTGAGAATGCCTGCCTGCCTGCCTGCCTGCTAGAGCTGATAGCTGACATGAAGCATTGAACGGGCGGGGGTGAGTTTGGAGGAAGATCTGTTTGAGTCACTCAGAACTGGGAGTGGGAGGCTGGAGCAGGTGTCTGCACGAAGCCGTGGATAAGACTGGGGAACTGGTTTTGGAGGATCTGAAGGGGAGGTGGAGGTCTACAGTTAGCCTACCTGCTTCCCCAGCTGGAGCGGCCTGCAGGCTCCCAGGCTGCTTATTCAACTTTAAACTTGAATTTTCCTTGAGTTTAATGTCAATCTTGGGCCCTTACCCTCATTTTGTTCCATCCTTTCACTCAGACTGAGAAAGGATAAGATCGTCTTGAGTTGGTGGCAAGATATCTGCTCTGTGTTTGAAACAAATAAAAATCTGAAAGTGCTGACAGTAACTAACAGCGTCCTGGAGGCCCTGTTCATAGAGACAGTCACCACCACCCTGCAGAAGCCCCAGTGTAAAGTGCAAAGGTTACAGTGAGTACTGTATTCTATATTTGTTTACTCTTCTGTTACTATGGCAACAAAATGCATGGACACAAAGCCAGCATGGAGCCCATCATGCCGGGGGAGACTGGGCAACATGGAGGAAGGGCACAGTGCAGAAGCAGGAAGACGGATGTCCACATTTCAACCACACGCACAGGAAAGAGCAAGAAGAGGGTCTAGGCTATGAAACCTTAAAGCCCGCCCCTAGTGATGTACTTCCTCCAGTGAGGCTCCACCTCCTAAAAGTTCCATAACCTTCCCAAAGGGCACAACCAAACACAGACCAAGTGTTCAAACACGTGAACCTATATGGTTTCAAATCTCAAATTCAAATCCCTACAAGTACGAAACACAAGTATATCCCAGAGAATAGTGACCACTTCCTGGGCGGAAGGAAGCCTGTGGAAATAATCTATTTCCATTTAACTTCCTTATTCCCTCTTCTATTCCACTCTAAGGGGAAGAAATACACACACTGAGCTATTTTTTTTAACATAGTTGCATCATTTTTAGTGGCTCTCAAAGCTTTATCTTTGTAGTGTGTTTCATTATGGCATTTTCATAGTCTTCACAAGGTTTTTACAGAATTGATAGTGACTTATCCAAAAGACAAGTGTTCCCATAGCTCTGCCATTGGGTTCTCTGTATGGGGTTTCTATACGCTTCCTGTATATAGCTGTCTATTGGTCTGTCGGCTGTATAGGATTGTGACAGGGAAGAGCTGTACCGAGCTTGCAGAAGACCTGAGTTTAGTTCCCAAAATCCATATCAGGCAGTTTACAACTACTTATAATTCTTTTCCTGGCCTCTGTGGATACCTGCACACACTCACTCAACACACACACACACACACACACACTCAACACATGTGAATGAAGATACACACACTCAACACACAGGCACCACACACAAATGCTCAACACATAAGCACACACATTCAACACACACATACTCAACACAAGCATGCACACAGACTCATACACTCACTCAACACACATGCACACATTGGCACTCAACACACATGAATGCAAACATACATCATAATAAAATAATAATAATAACAATAAAATAATAATAATAATAATAACAAATAATAAAATAATAACAAAAGCTGGGTGTGGTAGTACATACTTTTAATTTCAGCATTCAGGATTATAGGCAGGTGGCTCTCTATTGGCTAGAGGCCAGCCTGTTTTGCATGATGACTTACAGACCAGCCAGGGTAGTGAGATCCTACCTCAAAAAACAAAAATTACTACTACTACTACTACTACTACTACTACTACTACTACTACTACTACTACTACTATTTACATTTTAATAATAATAATACATTTTAAAGACTAATAATGATATAATGATGAGAAGGTTAAAATAGTTATACAGTAGAGCCCACAGAACTATGCCCAAGAGAAGGAGTGTATCATTCTAGAACTTGTTATGCCTGTAACTCTAGTTCCAGAGAACTGTGCCCCTTCTGTTCTCTGTGAGCACACCCTTATGTGCATGTACTGTCACAACACACACACTCACATGCACACATACACACACACAAATGAAGAATTTCAAGTCTGAGATCAACTACCTATAAGCTTTTGAGAACTCTGCTGCCCCCTAGCAGTTCAAGAGCTCATCTCCCGTCCCTGCACCCTGCCTTTCTACTGCACCAGCATCAGCAGGTGCTGCATGTGGTACACCTCGCCAAGGAGCTGTGCTGGCAAACATGAGATCTTCTCAGAGGAGAAGATAGGATGAAAGAGATCATGGTTACAGCTTAGCAAGCTATTATAATGGGAAATGCATTTGACCCACAAAGTTTCATCCTTCATTCCATCCTATATAAATCCATACATAGACAACTAGGGAAATGGGCAGGAGCATCACCATGACTTCGTTTTCAGTCATACAAACTATACTGTGTGTGTGCATGTGTTTGAGAAAGAGTGTGTGTGCAAGAGCATGTGTGTAAGTAAGTGTGCACATGCATGTGCACATACAGAGGACAGAGAACAGCCTGTTGGAGTCAGTTCCCTCCTTCCCCATCTCTGATCTGGGTTCAAACTCAGCTCATTAAGGTTGGCAGCAAGCGCCTTTACTAAACTTTTCATCAGCCCTTGCTCATACAAACTGCAAGAGCAAAGTTTTATGGCATAGTTCCAGCCTGTCTGGGGCACTCCTAAAACTCACAACTATGCTAAGCTGGAACCCCATTTCACGGATGAAAATAAAAGACAAGGCGTGGGGTCGTAGAGCTATGGGTATCGAGAACTGGATTAAAGCTGCAAGATTGGGCGGCACACACTGCACACACTCAAGATTGGGCGGCACACACTGCACACACTCAAGATTGGGCGGCACACACTGCACACACTCAAGATTGGGCAGCACATGCTGCACACACTCAAGATTGGGTGGCACACACTACACATGCTCAAGATTGGGCAGCGCACTGCACACGCTAAAGATTGGGCAGCACACTGCACACGCTAAAGATTGGGCAGCACACACTGTAATTGTGACACTTGGAAGGTGGTAGCAGGAGGAGGAGGTGTTTAAAGTCGTTTTTGACTATATAGTAAGTTCAAGGCCAACCTGGGATTTATGAGACTTTGTCTTTAAGAATAAAAATTTTAAAAACCTAACTCTGGGTTGGAGAGATGGCACAATGATTAAGAGCATTTGCTGCTCTTGCAAAGGACCTGAGTTTGATTTCCAACACCTGTGTTGAGCCCTCAAAACAGCCAGTCACTCTAGCTCCAGAGAATCCAACACCCCCTTTTGGCCTCTGTGGGTACACACACACACATACACACAAACACAGTATTTTTTTTTAATCAAAAAGACCTAACCCCATAGCCAGTTCTTTTATCTGTTAAACTGTACACCCAATCCCTGGGGCTTTTAAGATCCAGAAAGCTAATCATTTATTGTATAAACAAACCACTGGTTTTCCCTTAAAAACAAAACATTAAGCCTCACGGAGGCCTTGGCCAGTATCTGACTGCCTTTTCTTCTGTTACAATCGCTATTATTGGCTCCCATAGCACAAGAAGGATGCTGAGGGAGCTGGGGAGCTGGCTCGTCAGGAAAGTGTTAGCTACACAACCACAAAGGTCTCAGTTCAGAATCCCAGGTCTGACATAAAAACTAAGCAGGGCTGGGCATGCCTATAGTCCCAGCGTGGAAAACAGAAGCAAGACCAAAGGGTTCACTAGGCTCTCTGGGCAGCTAGTCTAGCCAATCAGTAAACTCCAGGTTTAGTAAAGGGTTCTATGTTTAAAAATATGGTGCCAGGAAGTGGTGGCTCACACCTTTAATCCCAGCACTGAGGGAGGCAGAGGCACATGGATCTCTGTGAGTCTGAGACCAGCCTGGTCTACAGAGTGAGTTCCAGGGCAGCCAGGGCTACACAGAAAAACTCTGTCTCGAAAAAAATCAAAAACAAAAACAAACAAATCAGAAGGGCTGGAGTAAGAGTTAAGAGTGCTTGCTTTTCACTGAGGACTGAAGTTTAGTTCTCAGCACCCACACTGGATGACTCACAGTGTCAGGAGCGCTAGCTGCATGAGGAATCCGATGCTCCCTGGTGGCCTCCTGGGATCCCTGCAAACACTTGGTGAATGTGCCCATAACCACACACATTCTTACATGAATGAAAATAAAACCTTTATGAAAATAAGGTACAGAGTAGTTGAAGAAGACATCTGGTGCTCACACACACATACACACACACACACAAAGATCACTGAAGTCCGTTGGGAACGGGACTCTGCTTTGTCATCCAATTTGAGGCATGTGAGTCACACGTTGCATAAAGACTTCTTCCATGTTTTGAGTGAAAACCAGCATCTGAGACAGCTGGGGGCAGAGCACACAAAACTGGGGGAGGAGGCCGTGAAATTCCTGTGTATAGCACCGAAATCACCCTGGTGTCTTCTGCAGTGTGTAAGGTAAAGGCAGAGGCTGGAATTAGTGATAGCACATGGTGATTAGTAATAGCACATGGTGGTCTCCGCAGAATGAATGGTCAGGTGCTCTGTGCCAGCCTGACTTCCTTATGTCCAGCTACTGTTAGTTTTATTTGACTTTAAGAGTATAATCTGATGATATTTACCTTGGATAATGCCCAGAAATGGAATTGCTGGCTCACGTTAGCTCTGTAGTTCATTTTTTGCATATTTGTTAGATTTTTTTTCTTTTGTAAAAAATGTTTAGATTTGTTTATGTGTTTGGATGTTTTATCTATAAGCATGTATGTGTGCCACATGTAGGCAGTACCCTTAGAAGCCAGAAGAGGGCATCAGATCTCCTGGCACTACAGTTACAGATGGTAGTGAGCCATGTGGGTGCTGAAAGCTGAACCCAGGTCCTGTGCAAGAGCAAACAGTGCTCTTAACCACTGTGCCGTCTCCCGACTTCTTTTGCTAAGTTCTTACTGGCATGCATTTGCTGTCCACGGTGCTGGATTCCACATTTTCACATAGCCTGTAATACGCTTTCCGCACATTTCCTCCTTGGCCCCACTGCTATATGACCCTGCTCCTGAGGGCTATGAACAAATGTCCATTTACCCCAAACAGGGAACTGACAACAAACCAAAGTAACAATAGCACTGAAGTCCAACTCAGTGAGCCAATGAGTTTATCGGAGTTACTTACAGTTGTATAGGTGAGGGGCTACTTACAGGAGCAAGATGTCTCAAAGCCAGTTTTATCACTGAAAGCCCACCCTAGCATGGGCTCACAGAAACTGGCACCGTAGGCCTCACTACACAGCTCCTGGGAACTCAATGTGCTAGAGAGTTTCCTTCCAGGCTGCTCAGCTGGTTGGAGTCTCCTCCAGTTTACAGCTGAGAAGCTAGAACTAACTCCTATAGTTATCCATCCTTGAAGAAGAATATGAGGTAGAGTGAAGGGTCTTTGGGGTACCATTTCCTCCAGGAGTAAGGCTTACCATCTCTGTGTGTCATCTAGGTTGAAGCACTGTGAGGCCACCTGTAGAGACTGGATTCAGTTTACTAGCAGTTTTCAAAGGAACACGCACCTGAAGACTCTGCTACTGACAGCAAGCTCCCTAAATATTTTTGTGGTGAAGTACCTGCTGCTGAGTTACCTCAGGGAACTGACGTAAGTTTAAATTCTCTTCCTGTCGTTATCACTTGGTAGCTCCAGGGCATCCCTAAAGAAATCCTGTGCCACAATAGGAGAAGGTAAATGTATTTAACAGGTGGAAGTCTTACGGTTGATGTGATTACGTGGGTGTGCGAATGAGCATCCAGGAAAAATGAAGAAGTGTGACAGAGGAAGGGGGCACAAGATAAGGAATACCTGTGTGGCTGGTTTTGTCAACCTGACACAAATCTAGACATCTCCAGGAAGAAAAAATGCCTTCATCTGATTGGCCCATAGGCAAGTCTATAGGGCGTTTCTTTGATTAATGATTGATGTGTGAGCCTATTCCACTGTCCTCAACCCTGAGCAGGTGGTCCTGGGGTCCATAAGAAAGCAGACTGAACAAGCCACGGGAAGCAAGCCCATAAGCAACATTCCATCATGGGGTCTGCTTTGCGTTCCCTCCCTGACTTGCCTGGATGATGGGCTGAAGAGTATAAGGAGAAATAAGCCCTTCCCTCCCCAAGCCGCTTTTGGACACATGAATTTATCAAAGCGATAGAAACCTACCCTGTTGGTTAGGGGTCAACAGTTAAGAGCATTTGCCATTCTAGCAGAAGACCCAAGATCAGCCTCCAGCTACCAATGTAGGGTAACTCAAAACAATCTTTAACTCCAACTCCAGAGGATCCAACCTTTTCTGGCCAGTATGGTCACCTGAACTCATATACACATTCCCCCCCATGCAGACACATATGCATAATTTAAAAATAAAATAAACCTTTTAAGGGTATTGCAGTGGTTTGAATAAAATGTCCCCCCATAGGCCAATAGGGAGTGTGGCATTGTTGGAATAGGTGTAGCTTTGAGGTCTCAGAAGCTCAAGCCAGTTGTTTCCTGCTGCCTGTGGATCAAGATGCAGAACGCTCAGCTCCTTCTCCAGTACCATAACTGCCTGCACACTGCTGTGCTTCCCACCGTGATGATAATTGGCTGAACCTCTGAACTCTAAGCCAGCCCCAATTAAATGTTTGCCATGGTTGTGGTGTCTCTTCACAGTGATAGAACCCCTGAGACAGGTATATACTTATACCTAGTACCCTAACCTATATCATTATGAGCTCTGTGAAACGAAACAGAATATTATCATTATTGTATTCTTCCATCTCTGTGCATATCAACTGTCTTGAATGCAATTGAACAGGCTAGAATCTCCTAACTCCATGGCAGAACTCTTACACACTTATCCTTAAGCAGGACGGCACACGGACAAACAGGTTTCTATTATCTTACATTTTACATCGACGGTGGCATCTGCTGTCCTTCCTTTTTAATCAGTAGGTTTTAGGTTTGGGGGTTTTTTGGTTTGGTGTTTTTGTTTGTTTGGTTGGTTGGTTTAGTTTTTTGAGACCGGGTTTCTCTGTAGCTTTGTAGCCTAGCTCTCACAGACCAAGCTGGCCTCGAACTCACAGAGATCTCCCTGCCTCTGCCTCCCGAGTGCTGGGATTAAAGGCATGTGCCACCACCTCCTGGCTCACACAGAAGGTTTTAAATGGACATTTTAGAAGCAGAATTCCAGAGCTGAAGAGGGCTTGTCTTCAATCTGCAAGGTTTTGTGACTGGCTATGCCCATTTCCAGTCCTATTGTCAATGCATAGCAAAATTCCCAGGACTTGAAATACTCAGCTGACTCTAGTCATGTTTTGTCAACCTGCTGAACAGCAAATGGCACTTTATTGTTTTAATTGATACTTCTGTCATTTTTCTGAATGATCTTGTTTTTAATTATTTTTTAAATGTGTATTTCCAATGCATATGTGTGTACCCATGGCACACGTGGAGGTCAGGGGACAACTTGCAAGAGTCAGTTCTCTCCCAACACTACGTTGATCCCAAACTCTAACTCAATTAATTGAGCTTGACAGCAAGAACCTTTGCCCTCCAACCCTCTCGTTGGCCCAATAACCTTTCTATTCCTTGTGTTAGCCCTGATGTCTGCATTTGATGTGTCTTTCCATTTTTAACGTCTGGAATTGTGTCTCTTCCTGGGTCAACTCTCATTGAGACGGTCACCTTTGCTGTCCTCTTTGTAAAGATTTGCTTAGTTTTATTTTACATGCTTGAGTGTTTGCCTGCATATATGTCTGCATGCAATATGCATGTCAGAAGGCAGCAGTGAATTCCCTGGATGTGGAGTTAATGGTTGTGAGCCACCGTGTGGGTGCTGGAAACCATACTTAGGTCTTCAGAAAGACCAGCAAGTGTGCTTGACTACTGAGCCCTCTCTCTATTTCCCTCTCTGTCATGCAGTTCCCCTGACCCCGTTATTCCTTCAATCTGTTATCCTCTCTTCCACAAAACTTGAAAGTCCTAAGAGCTGGTGACAGAGCCATAAGGAGCTTTCTGCTTCTAAAAGGAGAGCTCAGGTTAAAGTGACTGTTCCTCAGCATAGCACACACATACACACACCCATGCATGCACACATGGTACAGGAGAGAATTGTCTGTATTCTGTCAATCATGTTTTAAATAAACGCTGATTGGCCAGGCAGGAGGTATAGGCAGGAAAACCAGACAGGAAGTGGAAATGATGCAAGGAGAGCAGGAGAATTCTGAAAATGAGGACGCTGATTCCTCCCACTCCTGCCCAGATCACCGAAGCAGCAGGATGTGAGCTGCCCCACTGAAAAAGGTACTGAGCCACATGGCTAACATAGATCAGAAAAATGGGTTAATCAAGATGTGGGAGTTAGCCAGTAAAAAGCCTGCCCTAACGGGCCAATCAGCATTATAACTTACAGAGATTTCAGTGTGATTTTTCTCTGGGACTAAATAGCTGGGGGATGGGGTGGAACAGAAAACCCAAATAACAAACAGACCCCCTCATGTTACACACACACACACACACACACACACACACACACACACACACACAAAACAAAAAAAAAGATAGTTGTGGAAATGAATTTAAAGTGTCCCTTGTCAATTGTAGGAGCCAGACTGATCAAGAACAACACAAGAATCAACTAACCTGGGCTCATTGGAGCTAACAGAGACTGAACCAACAACCAGGGAGCCTGCACAGGACTAACCTAGGCCCTCCGTATATATGTTACAGTTGTGTAGCTTGGCCTTTTGTGGGACTCCTAACAATGGGAACAGGGTCTGTCTCTGACTCCTTTACTGACTTTTAGGATCCTACTCCTTATACTGGGTCACCTTGTCCAGCCTTAATACATGGGAGGTGCTTAGTCTTACTGCAACTTGATATGCTATGTTTTGTTGATACTCATGGGAGACCTGTCCTTTCCTAAACAGAAACGGAGGAGGAGTTAATGGGAGGGTGGAAACATAGTGGGGTGGAAGAGAGACAGGGAGGAGAAGAGAGAAGGGAAACTTCGACCAGGAAGTCAAATAAATAAATAAATTTATATGTATATATATGTATACATATATAATATTTATTATGTGCATGTACGTTAAAACTGTTCCTTGCCTGTGCGTTTCTCTTCACAGGCTGGAGAATTGTAACATCACTGAGGCCTCTTGTAAAGAAATTGCCTTCGCTCTCAAGCACAGTAAGATGCTGACCCACCTGAGCCTGGCAGAGAACAAATTGGAGGATGCAGGATCGAGGCATATCTGGGATGCTTTGGAACATTTGATGTGTCCTTTGCAAAGACTGGTGTAAGTCTGCAAGGATTTTCTTCCTGAAACTCTGGGGGAATTAGGAGGGGGTGATCAGGAGACTCTATTATGGATTCACGTATGCAGTATGTTAAGTATTGTGGTGATTTCGTTTATTTTTTATAATATGGAGTCAGCTGAGAAGAGACTCTCAATGAGTGACTGTCTAGATCAGATAGTGGGTCTTTGGGCATGTCTGTGGGAGACTGTCTGACTGAGCTCATTGATTTAGGAAGACTCAGACTGAAAATGGGTATTACCATTCCCTTGATTTGGGTCCTGGGCTCTATGAAAGAAGAGAAAGTGAGATGAATACAAGAATATAAGCATGCATTTATATTCTCTCTCTCTCTCTTAAGCATGCATTTATATTATCTCTCTCTCTCTCTCTCGCTCTCTCTCTCTCTCTCTCTCTCTCTCTCTCTCTCTAAGAAAGTGAGCTGAATACAAGCATGCTTCGTAGCATGAATAATAAAAACCCAGAGACAGATTCTGGGGTTCAAGATGAAGATCAGAAAAGCAAAGCAGCCAGCCACTGGCTCTTACCTCTATCTCAGACCAAAATGGGCAATCCTGCCTCCATACTGAGACCTATCTTCTCCCGTCTTATATTCCTCTCTAGTACTGGGGTTAAAGGCAAGCACCACCGTGGCCAAGCCTCTATGGCCAGCTAGTATGATTGCTGGGATTAAAGGTGTGTGGGGGCTGGAGAGATGGCTCAGTGGTTAAGAGCATTGCCTGCTCTTCCAGAGGCATGTGTCTAAAAGCAGGAGACACCAGACTTGGCATCAGGTCATTTGAGAAAGATCTAGAACTTTAACAGACGAGCTGAAGATGAGTCATCATCCACTCCACACTAAGTCCATGGCAAGTTGGATGTCCCAACAGCTATGATGTTACCAGGGAAGCAATCTTGCCACATCCAGCCCAACCCTTTGAAGTTTGGAGCACTGCATTCTGGGTACCCTGTTGTTGATGGTATTCATAGAGGACTGGTGACCAACAAAAGGCTGAGAGACCATTATGGGTAGCAATCAAGGGAGTGTACATTGCTTAGTCTAGAAAAGATTATCTTGCATCAAATGTAGCTGCTTCGAGGAATTAAAACCACTATTGTATAAGGATGATTTGATAAAATAAAGACAATTTTTAAAAAAAAAAAGTGTGTGAAACCACGACCTGACCTGTATGGATGACTAGTGTGACTGTTTTGTGTTCTGATCTTCAGGCAAGCTTTATTTATTAAACAAAAATAATATACCACTATAATGCATTTATTCTCTCTCTCTCTCTCTTTCTCTTTTCTTGACTGTGCATTGACTAGCTGCTTCAGGTTCCAGCTACTTAGATTTTCCCTGAAGCACAACCGAGGGGAGTGAACACAGCAGTGGGCACTGTACTCACTCAGAGGGTGATGCTAGCTAGCATGCTGGAGTGTTGGCTGGCTTGACCTTGTGCTAAACTTATGCAGGCAACCATGGCTGCTGTGAGATGGTGTGTGAGTTCCCAGTAAAGAGCAAAGTTGTTACTATTTCCATTTTGGAGGCAAATGATCTAGTCCTTAACCCAGTTCTCTGAGGTGAGATGAAATTCCAAACTTAGGTGTGAAGCCACAGAGTGGAAGTTTTCAGATTTGAGGGACATGGAGGAGTATCAGTGTTTACCGCTGGAGGAGTCGCTAGCTGGAGGGCACTGAGTCTAAAAACTAGATTGCACTCAATTCCCCTTGACGATATCATGTAATTGCAAAGCTGTGTTTCCTGTGGTGATGTCATGGCGACAGGGATCTTACAAATTAAATGAGGAAAAAGGCACGTCCTGAAAATAGTGATCAAAGTGTTAAAGCTGGCACCAGCCAAGAATGTTTAAGAACCTTTGAACTTGTGTTTCCCATCTCCTGTGTTCTGAGTGAATGCTCTGTCTGCCTCTGAGATCAGAATGGTGTCATGAGACCTGGCTTCCTGCCATAGGAAGAATGTCTTGTTTCTGGCACACTGCTGGGGACCAGAATGCATTCCTTTTGGGGGGAGGTGAGACAGGTCTCTCTGTGTAGTTCTGGCTGCCCTGGAACTCACTCTGTAGACCAGGCTGGCCTCTAACTCACAGAGAACCACCTTCCTCTGACTCCCAAGTGCTGGGATTAAAGGCATGTACCCCAACCACCCAGCCAGAATGCATTCTAAATGGTAGTCTGTTGACCATTTATCTCACACTAGCATGGGTGCCTTAGATGGCCTTCCTCAGAGTCCATATTGGTCATTTTCTCCATGATATGTTGATGTGATCAAATACCCAACAAGAAAATACTGGAGTGGACAAGAGTTCATGTGGCTTATGATTGAGGGGAGTCTGCATTCTATCCTGACCTGACAGGAAAGGCGTAGCAGCAGGCGCATGAGGCAGCTGGACACATTGGTTGGGTCTGTAGGCAGAAACCACAGAGCTGACGGGAAATGGGGCACTAAAACCTCACACGATTCAGCTGGCAAGATGGCAAGCCTGTCAACGTGAGTTTGAGCCCAGGGATCAACATAGTTAAAGAAGATAACCAAGTCTTGCAAATTGTCCTTTGACCTCGCTACATGTGTGTTATGTCATTGCCACACACACTCTCACACACACCACTGCCTCCAATTAGTGTTATTTAAGCACATGAGTGTGTGGCCCTCCATTAGAACATTGGCAACATTCTAGTGACCACACACCCAAAGAAAAATGACTCTCCCTCCCCTAGCTGCCATCAACTGCCACTAGCTCTTTGGTTGGTGGGGTTGTGTGAGCCCCCCCCCCCGTGCTGTATTTCTAGCTTGATGTTGTGCTGACCACCATAGTGGCTGTGAGTTCAGGAGAGCAGTCATTGTGCTGTGGCCAGAGGGCAGACTCCACAGCACCCCTCCCATCTTCCGGTTCTTACTTGGCATTTTCTGCCCCCTCTTCCACCATGTTCTCTGAGAAGTTAACCAAGTTGTCCTAATTACCAAAACCATGGAAGAAATAAGTACAGTCCAAGAATGATTTGGATGGTGTTTCCTGACAGGCTGAGGCAGTGTTCTTTGACTTCAGCATGCTGTGAATATATGATGTCGTCTTTCAAGAACAATAAAAGCCTGCGAAGTTTGGACCTGAGTTTCAACAGGCTGATGGACGATGGGGTCAGCCTACTCTGTAGGGCTCTGGCAGAAGCCAACTGCAACTTGTTGGTCCTGGAGTAAGTTGCCCCATTTCTCCCAGCATCTCCCTGGCTCTACCCCTAGCCCTGGGGTTAGGAACTCCTGCAGCCATGTCTGTTGTAAGATAACAGCTGCTAAGGGTCTGTCTGACACTTTCCCAGTGAAGTCTCGACTCCCTGAGCCATCTCACTAGACCCCCGTTCCCTCCTCTGGATAATCGCCCTGCAGACCCTGGTGCATGGCAGGGACGTGCAGCAGCTTCAGCTGCTGTGGGATTCGGTTCTGTGTGCTCAGTGTGAGGTGAGCCCTCAGATGGTGGGACATGGTGACTTCCCTTCTGTCTATTTCTAGGTTTTGGTTTGGTTTGGTTTGTATGTGTGTGTGTGTTTGGGTTTTTTGTTGTTGTTGTTGTTGTTGTTGCTGTTTTGTTCTGTTGTATTTTTGAGATAGGGTTTCTCTGTAGCTTTGGAGCCTGTCCTGGAACTCGCTGTAGACCAGGCTGGTCAGAACCCACAGAAATTTGCCCGTCTCTCGAATGCTGGGATTAGAGGCATGTGGCACTACCACCCAGACCTTCTATTTCTGCCCCACAGGCTGGAAAAGTGTTGGTTCACTTCTGCCTCTTGCCATGCTCTGGAATCCATGCTCTGTAGGCACAGGAAGCTGAGGTACCTGGACCTGAGCAAGAACACTATTGGAATCGATGGCATGCTGACCTTGGCCCTGGCGTTCTTCAGACAGAGGCGGGCAGAAGAGGTCGTACTGTAAGTTCCGTGGGAACCAAAGGATTCTTGTTTGGTAATAATAGTACCAGAGACTCAGTAGCTATTGGGAAGAGGTTTTTTTTTGGGGGGGGGCTGCTGTTGTTGTTTGGTTTGTTTGGTTTTTGGTTTTTTGAAACAGGGTTTCTTTTTATAATATATTTGTCTTTTAAAAACGATCTTTTCTCATTAACATACCTATCCCAGGCCCACTCTCTCCCCTCCTCCCACTCCCCTGCCTTCTGACACATCACTTTGAGGAAAAACCAGGACCCTCCCCTCTATAGTTAGGCTGAGCAAGATATCCCTCCAAAATGAATGGTCTCCAAAAAGCCAGTTCAAGCACTAGGGATAAATCCTGATCCCACTACCTCAAAGACTGCCCCAACCACACATCTGTCACACACATTCAGAGGGCCTAGTATGGTCCTATACAAGTTTCCCCACTGTCAGTCCAGAGTCATTGAGCTCCCACTAGCTCAGGTCAGGTGTTTCTGTGGGTTCCCCATTATGGTCTTGACCCCTTTGATCGTGTTATTGCTCCTTCCTCTCTTGGACTGGTCTCTGGGAGCTCAGCCCAGTGCTTCACTGTGGATCTCTGCATCTGCTTCCATCAGTTGTTGAATGAAGTTTCTATGGTGACAGTTAACGTAGTCATCAATCTTATTACAGGGGAAGGCCAGTTCAGGCACCCTCTCCACTATTGCTTAGAATCTTAGCTGGGGCCATCCTTGTGGATTCCTGGGAATTTCCCTAGTGCCAGGTTTCTCACTGGCCTCATATTGGCTCCCTCAATCAAGACATCTCTTCCCTTGCTCTCACTATGTGTCTGTCCCCCATCTCTACCATCCTGTTCCCTCAAGTTCTCTTCCCCCTCCCCTTCTCTCTTCTCCTCTTCCACCCTCCCTTCCCCCACCCATGCTCCCAATTTTCTCAGGAGATCTTGTCTATTTCCCCTTCCCTGAGGAATCCATGTATGTCAAAACAGAGTTTCTCTAACTTTGGAGCCTGTCCGGGAACTCACTCTGTAGACCAAGCTGGCCTTGAAGTTGTTGTCTTTTTTTTTTTCTTTTTCTTTCTTTTTTTTTTTGACCTTAAAGAAAAATGCAGAAAGCTAATATGTCATTTTGTCACCAAATAGTGTTGAATGTAGTCCTGCTCTCATTTCCCTGAGTTCCTTGGTGGCTGGGTTCTCCAGGGAGCTCTCTTCCCAATGTCTAGTAGAGCTTCCTCCCTAAACTCCCCCATCCTATTGGCTCAGAACACAGGGCCTCCTCTAGTGGACACCCTCTTTTTCTGATGTCAGGTCAGGCAGATGGCCGATTTCCCAATCCTAGGATGAACTGAGAGCACCTAGACAGCAAGCAGGTACCTGCTGCCAGCTAACGAAGGCGGGGCATCAGGGCCCCTCTATCTGCAGTTCTCTAATGAGCTAAACAAATGGACTGTAGTGCTCTGTTCTTACAGGCCTCAGGAGGTCTCCTATGCACAAACACAACTTAAAATCTCCCTGTGTAGAGTGAGATGCTACCATGGGTGTGGCTGAAAGTCTGACCGGTTCCTGGGGATTTCCAGCCCCCTTCATGTGACATTTAGACCAGCCTCCCATGTGATGGGAAAGGGGTCTGTGTTCTCCTGACTGCTATGCTCTCTCTTTTCATCCTTTCCTTTCTGTTTCCTTCATATTTTTCTGGTTTTTGCTCCCTTTTGTTTCTATGTATCCCTGGGTGGCTTCAGCCTCACCTTCCCCTGCCTCAAGCGTCCTGAGCACCAGGATGATATGGCAGGAATTAGCATGCCCCTCTCTTCATCCCAAGTTTTACATTAAGTTAGTAATATTATTGCTTAGACTGTTCACCAGCTGAGTGACTGTGAATGACCTTGTCTACCTTTGTGCCTCAGTGTCCCTGTCTATAGGTAGGATTTGTGTGGGTTCTTCATCCCTGAGATTTCAGGATTATTATGGGGTATGTACGTGTGAGAAACCAAGCACTGACATGCTGTCATCCAGGGGTGGATGTGGGCACAGGTGTCATTGCAGCCGATGCCTTCAGTGTCCATACTGTGCTGCAAATTACCTCATGTGTTGTCACCTCAAGCATTGAGCAGACTTTCTGATGGGCAAAGCTGTCTGAGGAGCAGCCATTCAGGTCAGGGTGTCTCACCAGGTTTCAGTAAGGCTGTTGCCTGGGATGTGATGGGAGCCAGGACTCAGCTGTTTGTACACGTGCCAGACAGGAATCTGCTGTCCACACACATGGCCATTGGCCAGAGGCCAGTAATCTGCTGTCCACACACGTGCCATTGGCCAGAGGCCAGGAATCTGCTGTTCACACACGTGGTCATTGGCCAGAAGCCAGGAATTTGCTGTCCACACACGTGCCATTGGCCAGAGGCCTGTGCTGTTCTATAGGGTAGCTCATGACATTAGCTAGTTTCTTCCAGAATGCATGACAAGAGAGATGTATAGAAACACAGAGAGACATACACATGGAAACAGATTCGGAGAAACACTCAGAGAGAGAGATATGAAGATATCAAGAAAGACAGAGAGAAACACAGAGGCAGAGCTAAACAGCAGAGAGAAACAGAGAGATGCAAAGAGACACAGAAACCAAGAGACAGACACAGAGAAAGACATTTAACAGAGACACATGAGGCAGAGATAGAAAAACAGACGTGCATACAGAGACACGAAAGGAGACAAGCGGAGGCAGGGCACATACAGGAGCCTGCTCCCAGGGTTCCTGAATTGGGGGAACACAAAGGCTAAGAAAATGTCAGATGAAAGAAACTGAGACAGAAAACACAGGATAGAACCAGGAGGGCTGTTTGGTCATGCCAAAACAGCCGACCAATCCAAAGTTTATTTTAGAACTTGCTTATATACAAAGGCAGAACCAAGCACAGCACAGTCAGTCAGTATCTACCCACAAAACCATTCCTGTCTGTGGGTGAGCAGTCTTCCAGCTAACATGTGCTTGCTGTTCGGAAGCAGCCTCACTTTCTTTTTTAAGTTAATTAATTTATTTATTATGAATACAATGTTCTGCTGGCACCAGATTTCATTACAGATGGTTGTGAGCCACCATGTGGTTGTTGGGAACCAAACTCAGGACCTCTGGAAGAACAGTCAGTTCTCTTAACCACTGGGCCATCTCTCCAGCCCGTATCCTCGCTTTCTAACTTGATGTTCCTGAGGTTTGACATCAGCCATGTTCTTTCTACTAGATAGAATTTTCTTTCCTTGTGGGCAAAATGCTCTTTCCCGTGAACTCAATCAGAAATCTCTCACAGTAATCTCTCACAGTCCTTAAGATTATTGGGGAAAGCAGAGCACACAAACTTGAACTCAAATGACTTCTAAGTCAGAACTGACTCCAGATGGAAACTGAGTCACACATGGACTCCCACATAGAGGAAGACACACAGGGATAGAGATGTATAGAGACACAGGGAAAGATGGATGGAGCTAAGACACAGAAAGACACACAGGAAGACAAAAACATGGAGACAGGGACGCAGAGAGAGACCCATAGAGGTAGACACTCACAGGTGTGCATAAAGAGCCATAGAGAAAGAGACATAGAAATCCATGGGGAAAAGCCAGAGATATCCACAGGGAGACACAAAGACATGCAGAGGTGGGATAGACACGCATAGAAGCATATGGCCAGAGAGAGACCTGTATAGACTCACAAAGGTACAGACAGACTGACAAGGACAGAAAAACAGATGCATAGAGACAAAGAGAGTGGCCGAGAGCTAAAAGGCGGCACGTGAAATACAACACACAGAGGAGAACACAGAGGCAGGGAGATAGAGACTCATATATAGTGGCAGAGATGGGGACATGTATATACACAGAGACACATAGAGAGACAGACACATGGAAAGGGAGATGCAGGGAGACAGATACACAGACAGAGCTAGAAAAGAGACAGAGACACGCATATAGAGACACACATAGGCAAAAAGCCAGAAGGCAACGAACCTTTATAACTTTCAGTGTGCACCCTGTACCAGGTCTACCAGGGTGTGAATGGCAGGCTAGTCCCTGGGCTATGGGGGACGGGGGCGCAAGATGGGACACTGCTTACTGTGTGTCCCGAGCAGGTGAATCACTGTGCAGGACTCCAAGCCCAGAACTGTTTTGGGTTTGTTTTGTTGACACAACCTCAGACTCACAGAGATCTTCCAGCCTCTGCACCTCCCCACCCCCACCCCAGGTGCCAGGATAAAAGGCACAGGCCACTACAAAAGCCAAGCCCCTGTAGGTGTTTGTTTAGTTCTAGCCTCACGCTGGTCTCCTGGGTGGCAGCTTCCTGTGCTAGAGGTTTTTGTGGCTTTTCTGTGATTGCTGCACAATCTTTGTTTGTTTGTTGTTTGTTTTGGTTTTTTTTTTTTTTGAGACAGGGTTTCTCTGTGTAGCTTTGGGAGCCTGAAACTCACTCTGCAGACCAGGCTGGCCTGGAACTCACAGAGATCCACCTGCCTCTGCCTCCCAAGTGCTGGGATTAAAGGCGTGTGCCACCACCACCTAGCTACTTTGCAGTCTTAAATGTCAAATACCAAGCCTTGTTTTCTGTGCCCTTCCCAGGAAGAAAAAATCAAATAAAAGCCTGGACAGGTACAGAAGACTGAAGGGCCCCGAGGTAGAGGATGGCCATCTGAAGATCGTGGAAGACTGGAACTCTTGATGCCCCGAGACGCCATGAGGCAAATGAACGCATGCAGAGACCCTTGGGACACATTCTTTCTAACTAAAATGGAAGCAGTGCCTTGTTTTCAGGTCCTTCTTTGCCTGGAACAGCCCAGTTTGTGCTAGGGAGTGGTGTGGACGTGGTCTTCACAACCCCCTCCGGGTTAGGGGCTATCACTATGAAGCAGATCAGACACTTAAGTGGGACCAGGTGGTGTGGAGGGCTAGGAAATGCCTGTTTTACCTGTTGGGAGAACTAAATTAAACATGTGTGTGCAATGATGCAGTGTGAGCAAGTGTTCGTT